ACAACAACAACAACAACAACAACAACAACAACAACAACAACAACAACAACAACAACAACAACAACAACAACAACAACAACAACAACAACAACAACAACAACAACAACAACAACAACAACAACAACAACAATAACAACAACAACAACAACAACAACAATTACAACAACAACAACAACAACAACAACAACAACAACAACAACAACAATTACAACAACAACAATTACAACAACAACAATTACAACAACAACAATTACAACAACAACAATCCTCATCGCCATCATCAACAACAACATCACATCAGTTACCTCAGAATTCTTCTTGTCCGTCTGCTCCATCAAGTCAGAAAAGTGGGACGGAGGAAAGGGAAAACTTGACGAGAGTTAAGGAGAGTAAAGCGCGAGGAGGCGTGTCAGAAGAGAGGAAGATGGAGGAAATGGAGAAGGAGAAAGAGCATCAGCAAGTGAAGAGGACGATAGGAGGAGGAGGAGATGAAGGAGAAGAATAAGGAGGAAGACAAAGCAGGAGGAGGAGGAGGAGATGAAGGAGGAGCAGGAGGAGGAGGACGAGGAGGAGCAGGAGCAGAAGTTGCAGCAGGAGCAGGAGCAGGAGTTGCAGCAGGAGCAGGAGCAGGAGTTGCAGCAGAAGCAGAAGGAGGCAGTCAGTTGGTTCCTACCTGAGACAAGGTGAGCTTGTAGAGAAGCATGAGAAGGAGCAGGAGGAGCTCGTAAAGGCGAAGCAAGGTGACGACGCAAAGGAGAGACTCGACGCTGTAAAACAACTTCTTGGAGTTGACGTAGAAAGCAACCGATCTTATCAAACTCGGTGAGCGATACGAAACAATCTCTCCTCCTCCTCCTCCTCCACCTCCTCTCCCTCCTCTCCACTACCGTCTTCTCCACCTCTTTCCCCCGCCTCCCTCGACTCCTCCTCCTCCTCATAATCATCATCCTCATCCTCATCCTCATCCTCATCCTCATCCTCATCATCAGCAGGAGCAGGAGCAGGAGCAGGAGCAGGAGCAGGAGCAGGAGCAGGAGCAGGAGCAGGAGCAGGAGCAGGAGCAGGAGCAGGAGCAGGAGCAGGAGCAGGAGCAGGAGCAGGAGCAGCAGCAAGAGCAGCAGCAGGAGCAGGAGCAGCAGCAGCACCATCATCATCCCGTCTTTACCCAAACTCACCCGCTGGTTCCTGGAAAGACGTGCAGGCAGTTTACTATCAGCTCCAGCGCGTTCCCCCAAGACAGCACCGAAGCTTTCACAAACTCTTGCTCCTGACTCGACAACAACAGACGTCAGTCAGCAACATGCAATATTACAGCCCACCAACAACAAACTCACATGCTGTATGTCGTCAGCAAGCTTCTGTGACAGGAACAACTCGTGCTCTCTCTGCAGTTTCCGGGCAAGAAACATCCTGTAGACTGGGATCGAAACAACTTCAGGGAGTCATCCAACATTACATAGCTCCCTCCACCTATCAACAAGACGGAGATCACAGTGCAGATTGACTGAAGGGCTTGTAAGATCGACTTCCTGGTCTTCAAGCAAACTTTCTGCACCGACGGCATGACACTCAACGTTGAGAAAAAGGAAGACAGACAGACAGACAGACAGACAGACAGACAGACAGACAGACAGACAGACAGACAGACAGACTTAAAGGCGAGAGAGGGAAAGAAGGGAGGGAAGGTGGGAAAGGGAGGGAAGTAACCTCTTCAGCAAGGGGTATCGTGGAGTAGTTGACGCCAGCGCATAGCTCGTTGACAGCCACCTGAGGTCAGACTTCACCTCCCGCTCCCTCACTCCTCCTTCCCGTCCTCACTCACAGCGAAGAGCACGCACAACAACGTCAGCAGTGCAACGACAGCCTGGACAAGGTCGCACGTCAGGACCAGCCGTCATGTCCGCAGCATGTGACTACTTGCACTGTGTACACTCGAGACTCCGTCCGTCTGAAGTCTGTGAGGAGTGAAATGACCATGCTGAAAATGGTGGCAGATGAAGAACGCTGTATCCTACATACCTGCTTCTACTGGATGATTGGTTGCCCGGGCCCTCCGGCCTTGACAGCAGCACAGTGCCATGGAAGAGGAGGAGCAGGAGCAGGAACGAGGAGAAGGAGAATCACAGTGTACTGCTCATTGTCATCGCTCCATGTTCTTCACCCCGACCTGAGATGTTATCGCCTTCGAACCAGCAAGGAATCAGTTTCATGGAGGGGGAACATGGTGGAAAATGTCGTGAAAAAATGTCTCATTCTCCTTTCCTCTCTTAGCCGCTGATCCCTCTAACTCTCCCTCTCCCTCTCCCTCTCCCTCTCCCTCTCCCTCTCCCTCTCCCTCTCCCTCTCCCTCTCCTCCCCTCCTCCCCTCCTCTCCCTCTCCCTCTCCCTCTCCCTCCCCTCCCCTCTCCCTCCCCGTCGCATGTTTCACCGTTCAACGGCATCAGTGGTTTGTCAAATTTTGACAGGCTTGGGTAAGAGTGGGGAGGAGCCTCTCCCCGAATGACACGGCCCGCGGGGCGCGGCGGCGGGCCGGGCCAAGCCTGCCACGCCGGCGGGACGGTACTATACTGATAATGATACGGTCACCGGCAGGGCCGCCGGCCCGCCCGGGTCGGACAGTGCGGTACTAACTTGAGGTTGTGTTCTACTTGAATTACAAAGAACACCGTAGCCAGCAACGAAGCTAAGATGGCACATGATGTACAAACCGTTGAACCATCATGATCACATGTACGGTACTCAATATCGGACCCTCGGAGTCTGCCAGTTGCTAAACTTGCTTCAGAGTAACCGTGAACCGATGTCCACACAGACAGAGCGGTATCAAAGTTAAGTTAAAAAGCAGTACGAGGACAATCAGGAGAGTATCCATTTGCAAGTTGTGTTGCTGAATCTTGCCAATCATGCGTCGAGGCAAAGCCAATGATTGATTGAACGAGTGCCATGCTGGTAAGTCTACCTCAGGAGGAAAACCGTTCAGTCACCGATCATGGAGTCCTCACTCAGCGGCCATGAACACTGACCGTGATGATTCGCATCGCATGTTATGATCGGACCTTCCAGGACCGCCTATCAGTGCAGCGCAGCGCACTGGCCTGCGCCAGTCAAGTTCACTGGCAACTTGCCCCGACGGTGGCGGGCCGCCCTACAGTACGGTCCGACGGTCGGACGCAAGCATCGGAAGAGCCTTCTCATTCAGTCGAATGCTACAGAAGACAAATGAGGGGTATGAGAAGAATGAGTGGTATGAGATGATGAAAGAACATAATCTTGACTTGCTTGAAACCAAGAGTTGAAATTCGTTTACAAATCGTTCGCATTTGAGAGTGCAGCGGATCAAGAATGCAGCAAACTTCGATCTGAAAAGATTTGTATTACAGACAAGAATGCGATTCTTCCTGCTTCATTGAAGCGTTAACATTCGCGACTTGACATCAGGTTCTGACAGTGAAACAGAGCCCACAAGGGAAGAAACTCAGGAATGTCATTTCGATTGGCTCGCTGAGTTCAAGGCCCTGAAAAAAGCTGCATCATCTCAAGATTACATGATATACGACCAGAAGTTTGAAAATCATTCCTCGGCATGTTGCCATAGCCCTTACGATCGTGGATCCCCCGTGCCGAGATATTTCTCTTCACCAAAGATTGTGCAACGCTGATACGTTCTGATTCTGACGAAATGATTTCGACATGCTTTCTTCGTTGAAATGCACAAACCCCTGTTTTTGCTTGAGAAGTCCTTTCGGGCTGAATGTCAACTTGCCATTCGGATCGGCGTCCTTCTTCGTTTCAAGCTTGATCTCACTCAGTCGACGGAACGACGTGAAATTTTGTGGTGCTCCAGATATCTCCTTGCCACTGTACGAGCCCCTTCTCATGCTTGCCATGTGAGCAGACGAGCGCGGGACGGAGATTTGTTCAAAGGTTGGGACCACGCCGAATGGAGATTCTACCTGCTTGTTTGTATGGGTTGAAGCTAGAATTCTTTGATGCGCGTTTCGCTGTAAACAACAACCGACCAGGTCCCATGCTGAGTCCTCCATCCTACTAGCTGAGGATCCAACTTGCCCTCCAAGGAACATGCCTGACTTGAGTCCCTTCTTGCCTCTGCTCGCCATCGCCACCTCCTCTTCTCCTTTCTGCCGCTCTTTTGCATTGATCGTCCCCATCGCCGTCGCACTGTCAACTAGCTTGCCACCACCCCTACCCCCTTCGCACCTTTTTTGCTAAAACTGTACCACACCCTCTACCCCACCCCCCCACCTGGTGGTATCAGTAGAGTTCCTCGGACAACAAGTTCAAAATGGCGAAAATACAGCCACCACCCCTGTACGACCAACCACCCCCCTCCGGACCACCACTACAAGGTGCGAAGTACTACCAGGAAACCTTGAAGTACCCCTCCTTTGCGCTATCGTAGTTCACATTGTCGCACGACTGAACTCCTCAGTCGGACCCCCACCCAAGTAGGACATGAGGAAATCAACTACCCCACCCCCAGTGACTGAATAGTTGACATGTCAAACAGGTCAGGTCATCCGTACCCCAAAAATGACTATCATGCCGGGGCTCCGAGGGGTGGGGGATGTGATGGTGGTGGTGGTGACAGGGATAGGGGTGGGGGGGGGGGGGGCAGGTACTTCGGTACGGAATCTGAAAAAAACTGAAATCATTTGTAAAGAGACGCTTCTGGTACAATTTTCATTATAAGTATTTTAGGTCGTAGTACCAGGTCTCCTCTAGTACATTGATTTAGCCTGAAGGTTGTTTCTGCTAAAACTCTCAGAGCTGTCACTTATGATTTCAAATCTTAGAGGCCAATTGATCGCTGTAATTTTGAACTTTGGAATAATATTGTCACGCCTCTTTGAGTCTCGGAAAGGGCCATGAAGGCTTTGAGCCTGTCAATAAACTTCCCGGCGAATCCGATGATCGGCGGCGAGTGACTGACGGGAGTCGGGAGGCCGGCCGGCCGCCGGCCCGGGCGGCCAAGAAGTTCCGGCTGGCAACTTGAAGTCACTCGAGTCGGCGGCCGCGGCCCGGGCCACCCGGTCCGGCCCCCGGGGCCGCCGGGTGACCGTACCGTACCGTGATCACTGATCCGATCCCGGGCGCGTCTGGTCCGGGCGCGATACTGATACTATGATACTAGCCGGCATGACGGCGCGGCCCTCCGACTCGGGTCACGGGTGGCAAGTTTGCGCAAAGGTAAGTCGGAAGGTGAAGTAGTATCATGATCGGATGACTCTGTGAGACACCAGTAAGTTTGGGGAGCTGAGCCGTACTGGCACCGTGCCGGGCAGCCGCCGCCAGTCACTGAGTGAGCAGTCACTGACTTTCGCCGGCCAAATAGTACGACGGGCCGGGTACCGGCCACCGGCACGCCGTATACGATAGTAGGATTGGGTTTAGTTCTCGCCGCTGTCGAGTCTCTTGTCGCTGGCAGTATGGCCTGGCGAGTCACTCCGCGACTCAGGGGCCCGGCCAGGGTCAACTGCCTCCTCTACTCTGACTCTCCTGATTGTACGGTACGGTCCTCGTACTGATTTTTAACTTAACTTTGAGTAAAAGGTCTGTGAAGCAATGCTTTTGAGAGGGGACGGGGACGAGGGCCTAGAAGACATATAAACCAAGGAAGCGCAGGGGGAGGAAGAGGAGGAGAGAGAGATAGAGATAGACAGACAGACAGACAGACAGACAGACAGACAGATAGATAGACAGACAGACAGATAGATAGATAGATAGATAGATAGATAGATAGAGGAGGAGAGAGGATCCAGATGAGAAAGGGACTAATACAACACGACGTATGGTCATCTAGAAATAGCTGCGTGCTTGCTTGACTGTAGTGGGAACAAAGCTGTACCAAGAGCAATGCTGTCCTTCATGTCTTGGATCTAACAGTTCCATATAGGAGGAAAGATCCCCTGCAAGTCACTTCATACTCTCCTGCTCCCACATCACAGACCATGTGTTGAGCGAGAGCCGCTGCTCCTTGGTTTACACACTTTCGCCCTGCTGTTTCCTCCTGCTCCTGCTCCTCCTCCTCCTCCTCGTTGTCAGCACGCAGGACGAGAGTACAACAGCCACACATGAACTTGTTCTTCCTTCTCACATGCCTCTGTTTCATCATCATTGGAGCTCGGAGTGAACTGGCCCCTGTGGCCCCTCTGCTCCCCCTCCAACTCTCCACCACAGCTACAACAAACTTGCTGAGAAGTGACTCGTGCGGGTTTGTTCTAGATTGTGGGGCAGCCTTGAAGTCTCTCAGCTGGGTTAGAGCAGAGGGACGTTGCCAGCTGTCGTGCCTGTGGAGTAGGAGAGCACCGAGGGGCGGAGCGAGACTGCAGCGACAAGTCGTGAGAGGAGGAGGAGCGACATCGAGCATGTCACAGGGGGGGAGCAGCAACGTCATCGACGGGAGGAGGATCTCGCAGCTGGTGCAGGAGGAGGTGAAGCTCCACGTGGAACAGCTCAAGAGCGAGCACGGGGTGGAACCGGGACTTGCGGTGCTGATCATCGGGGACAGGACAGATAGCCAGGTGTACGTGAAGCACAAGGTACTAGCATGCGAGAAGTGCGGTATCAGGTCCGTCAAGGTGGAGCTGGGCAAGGAGACGACGCAGGAGGAGGCGGAGAGGGTCGTGCGGGAGCTCAACGGCGACTCGTCGATCCACGGCATCCTGGTCCAGCTCCCGATTCCAGAGCACCTCGACGAGAAGAAGCTGCTGGCTGAGATCTCCTTTGAGAAGGACGTCGACGGGTTTCACCCTACCAACATCGGGCTCCTCGCCATGCGCGATCGCAAGGCCCTTGCGCAGCCATGCACTCCCTCGGGTGTAATGGAGATCCTGAGAAGGTCCT